GCCTACTTTACTTTAGGGCCTACTTTAGGGCCTACTTTGGGCCCAGGCTTCAGCAGCCTCTGAGTCTGTAGTCCAGGCCTCCTTGGAGAACTTGTCCTGGTCCCTTCCTCTCTGCAAAACTGTCACCTTCTTGGGGCATTGGAACAGCAGGGCTGTTTGGGACCAGTGGCAGTTCTCGGCTGACTTGCTCATAAGCAGAAAATGGTGCACAAGGACCCCACGAGGGAAAAAAACAGTGAACATATGGAGGGACCTGGCATTTCCATAGTCCTTCAGTGGGATAATGATTTTGGCTGGCTCCCACCCAAGGTATCTAGTTGCAGCCCTCACCTCCTCACACTCGAAGCCATTGACCATGAAGGTGTCGCATTCCCTGCATTTGGATGGACCCCGGAGCTTCCTGAGCCGGTGGCTCTGTGCTGCGCCGGAGAGAGGGATGTTCTTAAACTGCTGCTGGTACATCCCGTTTTCTGTGGAAACAGCATTTAAGCACGATAAAGGACGGAGCACGAAGCACAATCAGTTCCCAGCGTACCCGTGGAATACCTCCGGATTGCTCACCGTTTTCCGAAGTTTGCAATGAATCTTTCTCTTCAAAATCATCGGAGGAGGACATGGTGCCAGTGGAGGGAGCTTTTAGCAACTTCCTGCTAGATTTTCCTTGAGGCAAGAGAAAATACAAACAGTTCCCTCCTTCATAATGCACAAAGTTGTTCCATACACTTCCATTTTCCTTTTCCAGGGCCATATTAGGCAGGAATTTCTTCTCTGCTCACCTGGGCTGGAATTAGGAGAGTCCAGAGATCGGGATTCACAGCTGCCACCAAGACTTTCTGTGTCACTGCAGAGGGACTTGCTGATACCTGCAGAGAGGGGACACAGTGACAGGCCATCCCAAACACTCTTCTAGCTGATGCAACCAGTAAATATCTCTACAGGGGTATGTATTTTTTCAGTTATTCTTCTAAACATCTGCTCTGTGACTGTCCTTTTAGCAGAAAAACAGGTAGGTACATGATGGACCAAAGCAGCAGCCTATTCCAGGCAAGCCTGGCTTTAAAACACTTTCAGGAAATGTCCTTTTGTATTAGAAAAAAACTTAGTTTTTACTCTAGAGATAGATGTGTTCAAGGTGCCTTTTGATAGTGAAATAAGTTTTAAACTTATAAAAAATGCAATTTTCTTTGCTAGAAAGATGTAGATAGGCTAAAGAGAGGACAGGGGTGAAGCAGCAGTTGTGAAGGGGACTGGGAATCACAGTCCACCCTAAGCCAGAACCCCCACAAGCACATAAGACTCATGCAGGTAAGAAGCAATTTCTAGATTAAGGAATATTAAGGTCCATTAAGGAATATTAAGGTCCATTAAGGAATAGATTTTGGGGGATCTGAATTCTTTCTCACAAAAGCATCATGCGGATGATGCAGCCCCAAATCCGAGCGCAGCCTTAAGCACTGCCCTAAGAACTTGAGCTTCTCTCCTAGCTTGGTTGGGCTACAACAAGGTAAGCACTAAACCACAGTGACTAAAGGAAAAAAAAATAGGTTTGTCATTACATTAAACCTACATTACATTAAACGTACTCTGTTCCCCATTTGGGGAGAACTGCTTTCTTGCTGCATCTTCTGGAGCGCTCGTATCCCTCAGCTGCTTTTTGCCACTGGGGGAGGACCTGAGGAGAGGTTACAACAGTCGGAATCTCTTCCAAGGAATTTACGTGTAGGTATAAACTGAGTTTTCAAGGAGACTGGAGCAAACACTTGCACAAAGCTAGAAGTTGTTTCTGTAATTTGTTCACAACAGCTTCACCTTTTCTACCCACAGGAAAGAACAGAACATAAATCTAATATTGCCTGTCTGAGAAGAGTGATCCGAATCTTTATAGTCATCAGTGTTTTAAATTTGCTTTTTTTGCCCTGTATATTATATATTTTGACCTTTAAACTAGAATTTAAGTTTTTCACTTTTTATCTATTTACCTCTGCCCCCCAGAAACGAGTGGCTCGAATTCGAACACCTCCATATGAACTTCTTTCTTCGGCAGAGTCTGAATGAATTCCAGGTATTTCTCACCCACTTTGTAAGGCCTGCAGACCTCCGTGAGATGCTGGTAGCCCACGGGAATCTGTTCAGACTGAATCTGCCTCTGCTTGAACATCCTTAACGTAACCTGGAAGAAATAAACAGAAGAAAAGCACTGAAAGGCAAAGCAGGTACCATCTTTCCTCCCTTGGATAGCTTGGTATTTTATCAGCCTTTTTATGTTATGTTATCCATTTTTTATGTTATCCATTCTGCTGTCTGCACTTGTGCTTATGGATAGTTCTGCTTAAGGGTGTAGACAAAAAGAATAAAAAATGTCACTTTTTTCCCCCTGCAAGTCAGTCTTTTCCTATGGATATCTACATTCTCAAAGCAGAGGTAACTGAACACGAGCCTGCTTATCTAAGCATTGTTTTTATACAGTAATTAAACCAGAAAATAGTGAAGGATATAGTGGTCTTTTCCCAAACAGCAGCTTCCCTGGAACAAGTACTGGAGGAGAAGTAGGAAGCCTGCACGTACCCATGTCAGCATCTCGTCTCCTTGGTAGATGAGTTTCCGAATATGGGAGACAATCCGTGCCCGCACCTTCTCCAGCTCTTGTCGTCGGAAGTTGGCATCGTTGATGCACATCTTGTACAAAGCCTCTGTTTCTTGAACCTTGGTGTGCGGGGAAACAAAGCAAGTGAGGAGAAAACCCTCCGGAAGAGGAGGAAAATCAGAGAATCCCAGAATCCTTAAGGTTGGAAGGGACCTTTGGAGGTCACCTAGTCCAACCCTTCTGCACACGCAGGAGCATGTGGCACAGGGTGGCATCCAAGCGGGTTTGGAAGATCTCCACAAAAGGAGATTCCACAACCTCTTGGCAACCCATTCCAGTGCTGTCACCCGCCCAGGAAAGACATTTTTCCTTAAGTTCCTGTGGAACTTTTGGTGCTTCCGTTTGTGGCCGTTTCCTCTTTGCACCCATCTCGGACGCGGTCCAAAGCCGTCACCTTGGCCTGGGCCTCCTCGCAGGAGCGGCGCCGCTTCTCCAGCTGCTTGTTGGCGCTGCCGGCCGTGCCCTGGCACCCGTCCTCTGCCTTGGCGCTCAGCTGCTTCGCCCTCTCCAGCTCCTCGCAGCGCTGCGCGTACTGCAGCCGCGACTTGCGCAGGGACGACAGGGATTCATTCTTCAAAAAGGGGGAAAAAACCACGTAAGAACCTGCTGGGGCAGCCGTGCAAATGTGCACAAATCCGACCTGCATTCGCAGGCAGCGGGACGCGATGACGGGATCGAGCAGAAAGGTGAGATGCATATTTTGCCCCCTTACCATTCTTTTCTGCTCCTTTAACCACTGATCTTTGAACTCTTTCCTCCACTTCTCAATTTCGTTCTTCTTGGCTGACAGGGGCTGAAGAGGAACAATAGTTATGACAGCACCAAGTCCTTGGGAGGTGGCAAATGCATCCGACAGCTAAGGCCATGAGGTGAAAAACCAAGATGTGCAAGATACTGTATTCTTGAAAATTAATGCTTCCTTTTCCCTTAACGTGGTGTGAATTCTCTTTTTTTTTTCCCTCCCTCAAACTAAGCTATATCACTTCTGTTACACCTTTTTAATGCTCTAGCGACGGCCTCTGTCTGATTTTTCAGCCGACTTGTGTAACCTAAGCAGAAAGACGTTACCTGGTAGAATTCTTTCTGATGAAGCAATCCTGCAGTTTCATTAGCTGCGTTTCCAACCGTGATGTCCTGTTCCAGGACCATGGTGTAGAGTGCCCGGAGAGGCATGTTGGACTGCAGATACCAAAAAAAAAGTCGCATTAAATTGCTGGATACTCACTGCAGCTTTCCCAAATTGAAGGGCTTGTGTCAGCAAGTTATAGAAAGGGAATCTACGCTGGTTAAATTAGATTAATTGCACAGGGCGATAGCCAACCCCGTGCCCTGCAGCAGGGAGGAAGGTCCCATACCTGGTGGATAATTGCATTTCTTCCCGATTCTGCTATCTTCACAATC